CCTTGCGCCAATTAACTCCACTAATCATCGTCATCTCTTGTAGATCGTTTGCTGCAGCATTTTGGAGCCTTCTCCATGAGGTGTCTGGATACCTGCATTAACGTTTCTGCACGTGACCCGAACCCTGTGCCTTGCTCTCTCATGGTTCCGTAGGAATATGTTTGCTGCAACGCTTGAGCAGATGATTCGTGCAAGGGTGCCCCGCCACAGTGGTCTAGTGGCTAAGGTACTTGGCTGCTGACTTGCAGGTCGCGGGATTGAATCTCGGCTATAGCGGCCGCATTTTCGATGGAGGTGAAAATGCTGAGGCCCGTGTGCTCAGATTTGGGTGCACGTTAAAGAACCCCAGGTGTTCGAGAATTCTACGGCGTCTCGCATAATCATATGGTGGTTCTGGGACATTAAACCCCGCAGATCAATCAAATCAATCGATTCACACAAGGGCGGTTCCGCTGCGGCTCCCTTTCCTGGACCCTCTGCTTCACTTTGAAAGGAAGAAGCAGCGTTTTCATCTTCGTTTTAGGCTACTATCCCCTTGTTTTTTCACATCGTCTGGTGCTTTGAAGATCAGCGGAACAAAGTCCTGATGTCCAACTTGTGCATCTAACAATGAGTAAATGACAGGAAACATGTAGGACTGCTCGCTCCAACAACGAGGTGATCGAATTGGTCATTGTTTATGGTTGGTAAGCTTTCGGCAGATTCCTTGACACTCGTCATCAGTTGGCCTATGTCAGCAAAGTGTTAATCATGGTAAATCTTATCATAAATGCCACAACTTCCATTATCTATTCGAGTTTTTTTTTTGCTTTTTCAAGACTGGCACTCTCTTGATCTTCATTTTTCGGTTCCTCGTCCATCTTCGGAGTACTGCCAGAATCCTCCAATGGCTGTTCCCCTTTTGTCCAATTCACAGCATGACACGTATGCTGAGGAGTATCTTCTATACATGTCATCATCGCTTGATCAATGCCAAAAGATCCCCGAATCATTGGCTTCTGATTTGGTATTTCCAGGCTTCTGCACACTGTCACGACTGATTCGGTGTTATTGTTTTCAACCTCGGTAGAATTGTCTTGACTCGCCAATATTCCACTATTGTTGTTGGAATCTGTGCTGTCCAAACATCCAATGTCTCTTTCAATGCCTAAGGAAATGTCTCGGTTGTTGGCAATTTTACAAAGTTAACTAGGTTGTAGTTTTTATGGTCATGACTGGCATAAGAAAGTGGCCAATAATTTTCGTCACTTAGGTGAATCGACTGTCCATGTTAAGAGAGGTAATACTGCCCATCAGCTATCGCGCACGCTACTTTCTTATCGTAGTCGGCAGCATCCTCAAGTTTCTGGTCCACTGCCTCCTCTTCAGTTACATTGAGAATCTGGTTGTTTAAATGGCAGAGCTCAGCTTCTTTAGTCATCAAAACTGTGACTTGCCTGTTCACCTCATGCCTCGGCTTCAGATTCGCTCTGTAGTTCTGTCAGTAGCATAATATTTCACGAGACGCTGGCCCCGACAGTCCCACGAACCTTTCGAAGGTGCTTGGCTGACGACATCGTAGTCCCGGAACGACCACTCTCGGGTTTCACGGCACCAAATGTTACGAACAAGGACCCATGGTCGCGGCTCTAAACGACGATGTTTACTCCATCAAGGCTAGCTCCACCTCACTCCTTCCTTCTTCTCTTTCTTTCCCTTTGTCGAACCTTCGACTAAGCCTAAGCCCACTTGTTTATTTTCAACACAGCTGGTTCCCCCCATTGTTCTTCTTGGGAACCTTATGAAAAGCACATTATTAATATTTTTCATTGCTGTGGTGGGGCAATAAAGTTGAGTTGGGTGGGAAAAAAATAAACGAAGAAATACAAGAATTAACAATAAAAATAACTCTGACCTGCCTGCGTCACCTAAGTATTGTGGCGCTATGAATTAAAGAAGCATGTCATTGAAAACAAGCATGTTTTGAATTCATGATTTCTTTGTCATGAATAATTATCACCGAACTACAGTAGAACCTCTTGAATTCAAAGTTACTGGGGTTGCGAGGAATATTCATATAAGCGGGTTCGAATTAAGGGGGAACGGCTATGTTCGCTGTTGCCACCAGGGGAAAAAGAGAAAAAAAAAAAAGACGCTGTCGTAATCAACTAAATTGTGTGCCTGAGAAAAACAACACATCTTAACTGCAATACTGTAGTGACACGCAGGCAGCATGTCGCCTGCTCCTTGCTACGTCAGCACGCCATGATGCGACCATTCACCCATTCTATCTGGTACTGTGAAGAATTTAATATTGGCCAGTGTGCCGAAATTCGTAATGTGTTTTGACTGGAAAATATGATCATGGAAACTTTCTAACTTGGTTTTAGAGGTAAGCGTTGCAGGCAAAAACTCTGCCAGCTATATAAGTGCACAAACAGCTGCAGCAAATGGTACTTGGAGGTTCGCTACATCACAAATTCAGCCAAACTGTCCTATAAGAATTTCATTATGATTCTAGAAAGAATGGAAAATCATGACACGCTGACGTTGCTAGAAAAATGCGATAGGCTGCCCGCGTGTCATTGCTGTGTTGCAGTGAAGCATGTTTTGTTTTCCGCACTAGCATGTTACTTTTTTTTTCTTCGTTTTTTTTGCTGGAAGTAGCGAGGCTGGCGTGCTTCAGCTGCCACTCATTAGTATCATTACATGGCATTGCCTTTTGGCTCTAGAAGGCCGGTTTTTGTGCGGACTTGGCATATGGCACCCAAAGATTTAAAATTAACCAGACTGGTGCTGAGGACTGCTTCAAGATATCCGCTCAGACTTACGTTGCTAAATACAGGACTGCAGAAATATTCCAGATTAGGTCGGATTTCAAAGTAACTGAGTTGGAATTAATGAGGTTCTACTGTTAGTTGCAGATACACCTCGACAGTGAGACATCCAAATCTTGTCATTGTTATGTTTAGTTTCTTCATTCTTGCCAAGTCTCTTGGACTTTTATCATTTCTTACCTTTGTACGATTGTCATGAAAATATTCCAGAAATCGAAATTTCTGTGCGTCATCTGGCTACATTGACAAAAATGCAGCCCTTTTCGATCCAGTCTTTTTGTGAACCCATCACATTTTTTTTTTGCAAAGGAATTTAGGTAGTCTTCATCTAAACATACAGCAGAATCTCAGTGATGTGAAACCGGCAGATACTAATTCGTGAAATATTCTTGCCAATTTCCACTGCGTTCATTGGGCCAAAATTCGGACGTTCCCGACACATTTCTTCATAGTGCCGAGGATATGAACTTTAGTATCAAAATGCGTCAAACAAAAGCAGAGAGAAGCATGCTCGAGCTTCAGAAGTACACTAGTGGCTAGTGTGCACCACGTTTTCAACAGTGCGTGTGCTTGTCGTATATAAAACCGCTGTGGATGAAACCCTGGTCACTCTTAACATGATCATGTACAGTGACGGCACAACTCCAAAAGTGCTGGCATCCATCACTCGACCAGTCAAAGCGACACAGCTTTTTGTAAATGCTGCGGACAAAACCGCGGCAGGTACAATCATAGGAGCAAAGGATGACTTAATTTTGAAGGCACATGCGCAACCAGAGCACGCAGCCACCGCGCACGGAACCCCAGTCACGGCAACACGACGAGATAGCGATCTACAAGCTCCGAGGGCGGCTAATGCAGCGGTAGATTAAAGGAAAAAAGGCTAGAAGCGTTTTGGCGTTCCTGTCTAAAGAATGAAGTAACGTACCAAAGCTTTGACCCGCACTTTCGCCGCTGCTAGCTGCGTCGTCCCATTCGTTTACATATCCTAGGAAGACCTATGCGAGTTCTTTTGACAGCAACGGATTTTGGTAGTTTTGATGATGCAAAATTTCACGAGAACTTGAACTTTCCCTTTCAGACTCGCACTTGAGTTTCGAAACCCTACCCTCATGTGTTCGGCCCTTGGAGTGTTGTAAATATGTGTGACGGCCTCAAAAGTGTGCTGCCGTGCATCGAGCGTCCTGCTTCTGCTAGCTAGGCTGTGTGTTCAGGCGCTACTGTCACCATCGAGTTAGTTGCTTTACCGAATGGCATGCGTATCGGGATTTTGACTCTCAGGTTCTGTATTGTGCGTAGTACGTTCTTCGGGCCATTGCGACTTTCAAGTCGACACTGCTGCATGTGGTCACCTATGCGCGCGCGTTCTGCACATCGGTGTCAGCAGGTAGCAAGAGACCCACTTGGTACAGCACTAAATAGTCATCCATAGTGCACGGTATCCATAGTGTCATTATAGTGTCACGATCTGTCCCGAAGACCGTGGACGAGAAGGAGGGCCGAGACGCCACTCTTTGACAAGGATGACACCACACACATGGTGGAGTGACAGCTACTGACTGCTTGAGTGTTTATTTTTCCAAGCACGGCCAAGGTTGCCTGCCGAACTTGGCGAGGTAATGAAAATGGCTAGGCAGGGCGCCACACGCTCGTTACACCCCTCATTCTCAGTTATTGCACACAAAAAAGAATTACAAGTCCCAGTCAGTTCAGCGTTGCTTTAGGTAGGCGAAAAGCGGTCCGCTGCCCTTCGTCGTCGTTTACTCCGCCTGGGTAAAGGTGTTGAGGGACTAGGTGCGGTAGCACTAGGTGCTGCCTGAGCCGCTCTCGGTTCTTCCTGAGATTCTGCCATGGTTGGTAGGGATGGCACTGAACTTGCCGGTGGCCCAAGTGGCACACGACTGGAGGCGCCTGTTCCTTGCGAAACGGTTGTCTCACTGGCCGCAACTGGTGCTGCCGCAGATGCTACTCGGTCCCACGATTAGCCCTCACATGGTCAGCATGTCGGTGCCATGTGGTTCCATCCTGCATTCTTACGAGCAGGGAGGAGGAGCTTGCAGGCGAGACCACTTGTCCAGCAGACCAAGGGGGGCCAGAACGGAAATTCCTGTCGAATACTGGCAGTCCGGGTTCAAGCAATGGCCCAGGACGGCACTCTTTGTCAGCAGCCATCTTCTGTTTCAGCTGTTTGAGGAGCGCCATGAACCGGAGGTCTGGGTGCAGAATGTCCAATCGTGTCTTCACCATCTGTCCCAGCAAAAGCTCACAGGAGCCACGGCCGGTGACTTCATAAGGTGTGGTCCGATACTGAAAGAGTATGCGGGCGACCTGCGTATGGAAATCCCACACCTGGCTCTTCTTAGGTTTCTCCTTAATCGTCTGCACCACCCGCTCTGCTGCACCGCAGGGTGATACGGAGGAACCATCATTCGGCGGATTCCGTTATTTGTCAGCCAGCCCAGATACTGGGCGCTGGTGAAAGCAGTCCCATTATCATGGAGACTGTGACCGTCCGGCAGCCCCTGGGCTGCAAAGATCTGCCGCAGTGCTGCAATGGTCACACCTGCTGACAGAGTGGTGCCAGGTATAACCTCCACCCACATTTAGAATGCATCAACCACCACCAGGAAGTAGTGACCGTTGAAGGGGCTCCCAAAATCCACGTGAAGGTGGGACCAGAGCCGCTGGGAGAATGGTCATGGGGTGATCTCCACATGAAACAAAGCCCGTTGATGTGCCTGGCAGACTTGGCAGCTCGGCACCATTTGAGCAATGTCCTGGTCCAGCCCCGCCGCGGTGGTCTAGTGGCTAAGGTACTCGGCTGCTGACCCGCAGGTCGCGGGTTCGAATCCCGGCTGCGGCGGCTGCATTTCCGATGGAGGCGGAAATGTTGTAGGCCCGTGTACTCAGATTTGGGTGCACGTTAAAGAACCCCAGGTGGTCGAAATTTCCGGAGCCCTCCATTACGGCGTCTCTCATAATCATCAGTGGTTTTGGGACGTTAAACCCCACATATTAATCGATCAATGTCCTGGTCCTGTCCAGGCAACCAAACGTGGGATCAGGCCACCATTTTTGTCTTTTCCACGCCAGGAAGCCCCGCGTGCAGCAACTGCAGGACCCTGGACCGGAGGCTTTGTGGGATCACCACCCTGGAACTCCAAAGGTAGGCAGCCTTGCTCCTGGCTCAGCTCAGCGGCCTTGTGGCTGTAGGGCTGTTGCACCAATTCCTCCCCTTGGGATACTGCCTTTACCATCTGGGACAGGACCGGGTACTGACTGGTCATCTGCGACACAGCAGACCTGGAGATTACCTCACGGTACGCATGCTCCAGCATGAGCAATTCAGCTGGCTCTGGAACAGCAGCAGGCACCTCTGGCAGCGGCAACCGGCTCAGGGCATCAGCAGGCCCCACGTTTTTTCCAGGACGGTACTCCAACTGCTAGGTGTAGGTGGCCAGCTTCAAGGCCCATCGTACGACTCGAGGTGATGCCTGCACGGGGACCGCCTTGTCTAGCCCCAGTAGCCCCAGCAGTAGTTTGTGGTCCGTGACTGCCTCGAACTTTTGGCCCCACAGGTACTTGTGAAAACGCTCAGCGCAAAACATGAGGGGGAGGCCTTCCTTATCCAGCTAGCTGTAACGCTGCTCTGCTGTGTGAAGACGAGAAGCAAACGACACCGGGCGTTCTTGGCCATTCTTGTCCTCTCTGTGTACTAGGACGGCTCCTACACGGTATGGTGATGCATCTACAGTAAGAACAACTAACTTGGCTGGATCGAAGTGCACCAGCACCGGTGCCTTGGTGGTTAGCTGTTTACTGTGCTCAAAGGTTATGTCCTGCTTCTTCCTCCACGCCCAATGCTGGCCATCTCGAAGCAGAATGTGCAGTGGCTGCAGATGCGCAGACAGGTTGGGCAGGAACCTTCTGCAAAAATTGATGAGGCCAAGGTAGCTTTGCAGCTCTTTTTTGTTTCGGGGCTTCGGTGCTTTCAGAATAGCTTCAACATTACGGGGGGCCGGAGTCAGGCTGGCCTCGGAGATCATGTGTCCCAGGTATTCTACACTAGGAAGCAGGAACACGCACTTTTCCCACCTGAGACCAGCATCCTGAAGTCTGGCCAGAACATTGTGAAGATTCTGCATGTGGTCTCCATCGTCAATACCGGTGACGAGGATATCGTAAAAGTACACTGCGATGTGCCTCATGCCCCTGAAGAGGTTGTCCATCTCTCTCTGAAAAATGGCTGGGGCCGAGGCCACGCCGAATAGTAAACGCTTATACTGGAAAAGCCCCATAGTTGTCGATATTGTGACGTACTTCCGTGAGGCCTCCTGGAGCACTAACTGCTGGTTGGCATGTTTGAGGTCAAGCTTCGTGAGTTTCTGGACACCAGACAAAGCCGACCAGAGATCTTCAATCCGAGGCAGGGGGTACTTTTCGATGGTAGCGACGGGGTTGAACGTAACCTTGAAATTCCCACAGATTCTGACACTACCATCTCGCTTGGAAACTGGAACGATGGAAGCGGCCCACTCCGCAATCTTAATTGGTACCAGGGTGCCTTCTCGCTGTAACTGTTGCAGCTCCTGGGTGACCCCGCCCGAGGGAGTCCGAGGCCGGACTCCCTCGGGCACATGGATGGCAGCAGTCGTACCGGCGAATCTGCCCATCCCTGGCTTGAGCCGTGACTGCAACTCGATTAGGAGGTTTTGAATGTCTTGTACGCCATGTAGGGTTGCTTTCTGGCTCTCTGGCAGCCGAATACCCAGTGTGCAAATCCAATTCCTGCAGAGCAGCGTCGGTGACAGTCAAATACAGAGGAAGGGTAGCTTCCCTGCTGCCAAAACGAACACTGACCTGGGCCTGGCCTTGGACCAGGGAAAGCTCACCCGATTTACTTCGCAGCATGATGCTGACGGCCACTCCAGGGAAGGTCCTTTTGAAAAGTTTGACAGTCATGACCGACACACTAGCCCCCGTGTCCAGTTCCGTGGAAATGGGGCGCCCGCAAACTTTGACGGTTAGTACGTACGGCAGCACAGACGGCGGAAGAAGGCCTGTGTGCCACATGTCAAAAATAGGGGGGTCCTCGGTCACGACATTAAGCCTGGCCGTGGAGGAACCCGCGCCTGCTGCCGCACTTCGCCGCTGCAACTTGCGACACCTACCTTGACCGCGGGCTGGTATGGAACGTGAGCTTGATCCAGGCTGCTGCTGTGGTCCGTTGTTCTGCTTCCCCGTTCGGCATACTCGTGCAAGGTGCCTCGTTTTCCGCACAAAAAGCACTGCAAATGTACGAACTGGCACTGTGAGGGGGAATGGGCGTCATCACAGTGACTACATCTACCGCCCTTTGGCACAATCTTGTTGACCGCAGCTTCCGTTGACGCCGCACGGCCATTCTCGCCGGCGTTGTTTGTCGCCGCGTCCATCGCCAGCGCTGCTTTCACCACGTCATCCAGCGGGGAGTCGGGAAGTTCCTGGAGATGCGTCTGTATGCCGGGGTTGTTTATGCTGCAGGCGAAACAGTCTCGTAGCAAGTCCAGCTGGTCCCCGAAAGATGAGGTACTTGCTAAGCCTTGTAGCGCAGCGACGAACTGCCTGAGGCTTTCCACTTCCCGGCGGCTCCGGTTGTTGAAATGGAAACGCCCCATTAGCGTGGACAAAGCCAGACTGAAATGCGAGTGCAGTGTAGTGAGCAACTCACTGAGCATCTTGGTATGCCGTGTAGCTGGTTTTAGGAGGTTGAGCAGGAGACTGAAGACTTGGGTTCCGCAACTTGCCAGGAAAATGTCCCGTTGTTGTTTCTCCTCGGGCATGTCGTTAGCGCAAAAAAACATGTGAACTTGCTCTTTATAGATGGGCCAGGTGGACCCGCCTCCCTCGAACAACTTGAGCCTTCTGTACAGCGGCATGGCATCAGATGCGGGGCGCGTTGTTTTGCTGCTCTCGATGGCGTGGGTCGATTCGTTGATTGAACTCGTCGGCAGTGTCACGATCTGTCCCGAAGACTGTGGACGAGAAGGAGGGCCAAGGCGCCGCTCTCTGACAAGGACGACATCACATGCCTGGTGGAGTAACAGCTACTGACTGCCGAGCAGTGCTCGTCAGTGTTCATTTTCCCAAGCACGTCCAAGGTTGCCTGCCGAACTTGGCGAGGTACGAAAATAGGCTAGGCAGGGTGCCGCACGCTCGTTACGTTTGCACGATTTGTGAATTCGTGGTGCACAGAATTCGTGATGTTCAAATTAGTTTAATCGGGCACCGCGCTGCTTTGTTCGTGACTCATGGCGCGTCGGAGATCACGTGGCACAGTTTTCATAAACGGTGAATTGCAATACTGCTTCTTTTTATAATTGAAACTCGCAATGGGTGCTTTAAAAGGCATTGCTGCGTGCCAGCTCTGCGCTACACGAGCTTTAACCTTAGCTTTACATTCCACTGGTGTTTCAGTCAGTGGCCGTTCTGCAGTGTGACTGGCATACTTCTTTCTTTTTTTTTCTCTACAAGTCGGGCCTCTGTTCATCGGCGGCTCGTTTGTGGGGAACGCGGCATGGTACGGGTGGCAATAGCAAGTCGATGGCCATCGTTATTAAAGAAAATAAAACAGGTTAACGTGGGCAGTACATATAACGTGGGGTTGCGTGCATCGAGAGGCGTTATTAGCTAGTATCATCCGCTTATCATTTAGTGCCATATGCACGTGCTTAACGAAATAGTTGGTGAGGTGAATTTTCTCGGCTTCCGCGCCGCACTCTCAAAAGTGGTTCCCCATGAGGTGGCCGCAAACAGTGGTGCATCGCGCTTTTGTTGTTGGTTAAAGGTTTGCAGTACACTTGACGATAGCATGTCACTTTTCATAAGCGAAGGCCCTCTGTTATGGAACTATGATTCTTGTGCAATCACATTTTTTGAAGTTTTTTATGAGTGGGATGCGTTTCTCTTTTCGAATGTTTCCAGTGGACCTAGTTCTCAGAACTTATTTTAAAAATATTATTTCACATTTGTTACAGAGGCTGGACAGGTCGCATGTTATGTAAAAAGGTATTGCAGTTCATACCGGGTGATAATCTGCTCAAAAACTTTCTTTAAAGTCTGTTTCAGTATAATGTGTTGTGAAAGTAAATTGAAATATGCACTTGTGCCGCCAGGTTGCTAGAAATTCGCTTTTTCAAGCTCCCAGGACAACATAATTGTCACTGACTGCTCCAAAGCGAGGTTTGTCTGTTCCAAAATTAAAATTTCGTTCCTCCGAAAACTGCTCCCAATTCAATTTCAGCTGTCTCACCCCTGATAATGAAAAACAAGGTGCGAACTGCAAGTTGCCACACTTTATTTCGCAAGAAAATTGTCTGTAAACTTGTCTTGCTTCTTGCACGTCATCCTGTTCCAGTTATTCTCAATATCATTGAAGCTTTTCAAATAAGCCTTCTTCCGCCACAACATTGATTGACGCAGAATACTGATGAAAGCTTTGTAACACAGCAAAAAGGTGGGTAGCGGCAGCAGCGAAGGCATTGGCACATTCATAACCGCACAGCTACACTTCCGCGGCACCAGCAACGGCAGCCAAAATCCCAGCTTTGATGCATTGAGAAACAGCTACGTCGTCATCTGTACCGATGTAGTAGCTCACCGTCGGAGATGGTGCCCGGAAACGCTGATAAGTCACAGAATTTATTGAGGTACTGGATGTCGTTGTCAGCGGTCATGATGCACCCGAAGTCGTCACCTGGCCTGCAAGGAATATTTACGACAGTGCTTTACTTGACATCCCTCTAAGCGGCAGTCATCATTCTTATCACTACGTGAGGGTCAACACTCAGTTCCACTCCCGAATGAGGATTTATTAGGAATGAGGCGAGAAGTACACAAGACCACAAGGCATAAAAGACACAGTGCCGAGTTCGTCTGAGTTCCCGCCATTGACATGTTGGCAATATCGATTTGGCAGCCGCTGCTTTCAGCGGCTTTGATGCCAAAAGATAAAAACAAGCATAGCCTTTGATAAATGTGTTTTAAAACCGAAAACACTAAAAATACGCCACAAGGTTGCACATCTCGAAGGCCATGCTTTTCAGGCTCGCTCGCCATTGTGCTCTAACAAACAAAGAAGGGAATTCGAACATTGCAATGAAATCACCAAGTCACTTCACATTCTCTTTTCGGTGCCCTCTGCAATCAGTCTTTTGGAAAACACTATGCCCGCGCACTAAGACCTGTAGGCCATGCATCAAACGTACAGATGTAGTCGCAAGTGCCGTGCAGCGAACTTGATCAGCGCAATGGAATAACACAGTTTTTTTTGTCGCCTGTGCAGAAAAAAGGATTGGAACTTGTTATAACATGGCCTTAAATTGATTAATATTTGCTAGGAAAAATGCACTTTCTGGGTTTCGGCATCAATCCATATAGCGGATGTCTCACTCTGTGGGAGTTCAATATACGGGTGTGCCGGTCTCATACCTTTGCATGGGAAATTCAAAGAGATTTTTCAACTGTTCGATATAGCTAATAGTTCGATATATCCGAGTTTGATATATCCGGTATCGAAAAGGATCATGAACCACATTCTCGAGCTTGGTGGGAAAACACATCCGGCATAATTCATACACTGCTAGTCTAGAATGAGAGTGCTAAGTTGCCATTTCTTGAGGTGCCCTCTTAAAGGCCTTTGCTCACTCTTTTCGGTGTGCAGCGAGCTGGGGCTGCCTGCTGTTTGCTGTCAAACAACATTCTATTTGCGTATAGCCAACATGAATCAACAGCGGCATTTGTACCAGATTCAAATTTGTTCACTCATATCTGTTCGAACGGTTGCAAAAAACTTACAGATGATGAAAACTGATAAACTCGGCCTAGATATGTTTTTCAGTTGCGAGACGCACAAGGATGGCATGCCGTTCCGGGTGATTATTTTGCAAAAAGATTTTTGGCAGAAAAGTGTAGCGCTTTTTCTGCAAGAAAAGCTGAATTTCCTCCACATTGATGACCCGTTTCACACAAAGAATTCCGAGCAGATTGCGAATTTTTAGTATCGAATGCCAATGTAGTGGTTAAGGCGTTGTCCTTCGACGTGAAAAATTTGTACTATTCTTTATGTAACAATATGCTTCTAGAGTTTGTGGAACAGTCTATACTTGAACATGATGCAGTGGCCTTTCAGGTATGTCAGTGCATGGTTTATTTATATTTATTGGCTTTATACTGAACGTCCATATTTGTTCATTGGAACACTTACATCCAAAAACAGGTTATTTGTATTGGTTTGGCTATTGCACCCGTACTTAGTGATATTTTTATGGCCCACTTGGATCGAACAATTGATCAGAAGTTCTTGGGAACTATGGTTTCACAGATGTTCAGGTTTGTTGACTATAGTTTGATAGTCTTGAAATGTGATGCCAAAGAATTTCAAAGTTTTTTTTAGTTGACACTTAAAGTATTTGAGACAGTTTGTTGGCCCCTAAACTTTCACACCAAAATGCCACGTGGGAACACGCCCAGGTTCCTTGATCATTGGTTAAAATTTCATGATGATCACGTTTGGTGGCTTTATGAGTCCAGGAGCAAAATGCCATTGTTGCCTTACTCTTTCGCACATACTAAAGTAGTCAAGATGTCTGTTGCACGTATGTGCCTTTTAATTCCATAAAGAAATTGTGTTTTCACTTCATGCAGAAGAGCTTCGAGCAACAGGTTTTGCGACTGCAGGCAGCAGGTTACCCGTGATGTTTGGTTATAGCCGTCGCCAAATCACTCCTATAGGGACCTAAAAAAACAAAATAGGCAGCGTAATGACACTTCCCTGCAGCAGCGGAACACAACTGTTGTCCCCTATATCCATGGTGTGGCACACAATTTTAAAAAAATTAGAAATAAGGTTGGTGTACAAGTGGTCATGTCTGTTCAGAGAAACTCTCAAAAATATGTTGCGAAACCTCTCCTGTTTTGAAAGAAAAGAATGGTTGCCAAATTAATCATCACAATAAATATGTTGAGTGTGCACTTTCTGTTGTTTATAGATTTCCCTTGTCCTGCGGCCTCGCTTATCTTGGGCATACTGAAAGGTGCATTAATGAGAGGTTCAAAGAACACCATAATAAAGTGCAAAAAGTGACAGGTGGTCACTTGGTGATCCACTGTGAGGAGTGTGATTGTGTGCCATATTTCAACAACACTTGCGTGTTGTATCGTGACAGAGATTTATGAACCTGTTTGATTGTTGAATCAGCAGAAATAACGCATGGTGACTTTGAGTGTCTTAGTGCACCTTCTATCTATGTCATGCATAAGGAACTTTGTTTTTTAGGTTGGTGTGATTAATAATAATAGATGAGTAATGTACAGCACTGCACGTGCGCTTTTTGTCATTCTGCATTTTATTACTATTCTTTCTCTTCTTTCACCCCTTTATATACTCTGACATTTGCAATAACTGTTTAGTTGAAGTTAAGCGCTTGTCTCGTGTTCCTGTGTTAAAGTTGTGCGCTTCCTACTAAAATGAATTCATACTAACTGGTCCGATATAATTGTTTACCCTGAGACAGCTTTGTGCACGTGACCTCGATCATGCCAGATGAATTGCGACATGTGTTGTATCACCAAAAGAGATAAGACTGCTGGCCGGCGCACGCAAGACAAGCAACAAAATGCTTTCTGGCAATGTCATCTGCGGTGGCTGGAGAAACCATTCATATAACACAAATCACAGTGCAAGATATATAATGTAGTCCGTTTGAAACATCCTTATAATTTGTATTATCGCAAAGTTTTATCAATCGTAATCGTGTTGTCGCAATTATACTGCCCTGTAATATTCATTCAAATATTTGAAGTGCTCAAATTTTTGCACAAGCATATAAAAGTTGGAATAAAAAATTTAAATATACACCTGAAGCAGAGTCTCTCCTAAACATAATAAAAGAACAAAATTTAAAAAGTAATTTGTTGTGGTGGTGGATTGATTGCCCCAGCAGTTTACAGTCACTGAAATGCTTGCCTTGAAGGCCTATTTGGCCGCATGCTGCTATTTGTGGTGTCATTCCCATGCATATTCAGGCAGAAAGGAAAGACTGTATATGTTGTTGATACTGTCATAGCTATCAATGTTTTAATTTCGTTGATGCTATTGTTGAAGAAGCATAATAGTGGTGTGCACTTGTTCGGAATTTTTTTTTTCCAGGAAAAGAGAGTGAACATGTCGCCTAAGCACGTATCTCGGTCGAGCAGCGTAGTGAAGAACTTACCTGCACAAATCGGTACGTCTCACTAAGCTGGAATTTCAGTGGTGTTTTACTCGGACTTTTTTTACTGTAAATACCACGTAAAAGCTGAAAGAATCTGTCTTTTCATTTGCTTGCAACAAGCTGTTATGAACATTCACTGTAGTGGATCTAGGTCTGCCATGGATATTTAGATGGACATTGTTCACTGTTCTTGCAATTACATTGTACTTCACTATGCCATGAAACAGAATTCAGAGATTATGCTAATGTAGGGTGGGGTTGAGAATTCAGACTTACGCTTATTGTGTGCATTAGCTGTAAGCTAGGAAGGAATAAACGAGTGTGTTCATTTGTGCATTCGCAGCTCACCTATACGCAAGATGTGTACTGCACAGAACAATGATCAAATTTTCGATGAGGAGGACATCATTATCAGTGCTATTTCAGAAGCAGAAGGAGCAGTCCAGGAGCAGAGGGCGCTTTCATAAGTCGAAGAATGTCTAGTGCTGTCACAGAAACCAGAAAAAAAGCTGCATATATTAGCTCTGAAATAGGCTGGACATTCTCACATGAAGGCCGCTTAAATATTGCTTGTGTTTCGGCACCTTGAAGAGTAGAATAATTTTTACAGTGAAGCTGTCTGAAGCCAGCCTGATTGTTCGCAGAAAAACTCCTAGCGGGTTCTACGTGCACAGAAATACGGCAAGCCTCTCTACTGACCACTGGTTCGCTTAAAAGGAAAAAGCCATCAGTGTGCAAAAGCTTGTGTCAAAAAATTGACTAAAGTGAAAGACTTAAGTGAACTGACATGTTTTTTACTTCTAAAATGTGTCTTTTGTTAATAACATGAGCAATAATACACTCCTTATTGATGGTAATGGTGCGAAACGAGTGAGAAAAGTCTCTCAAAGCTCAGCATTAAGGAGCAATTTTTGTGACACAAATAAACATTCAAATGATACATTACACAGCTTCATTGATCGACATCTTCATGTAGTATAAGGGCCGAAGGTTTTCATGTAATCAATATCTGGATGTTTCATGTGCCACAAAGAAACTTATTGCAAGGCTCGTGCTTTGGCACTCTGCATTTATGCCTTTATATTGGAGCTTTTTCCTTACAGTGGGAAAGTTAAATGCCTTTTTTTTTAGTGTGTGTGTTTTAGTTAGGAAATTTTTTTTGCAACAGCTACTTAGATTACTATGTGACTCAGTATATGAAAGGGAATGCATAGTACAGTTATTTCAAATGCTCTTAATTTTAATACACCTCAAAGGCCATTTGTCTTTTGAAGATAATTTATTCATTAAAAAAGAAAAAGCAGAAAAAGATTCTCAGAAAAACTTTTGTACCAGAAGTGAAAACTTTGGCAAAAGCTTTTTAAGCAAAATGTCCAAATATACAGCATGTAGGAATATTGCTTGGCAGTTTTTATTTAAAGAAATATAACTACAGATCAAATACTGGTTGACTTAAGAAAGGTTACCTGACACATAGTGGCACATCCATACCGTTGTTTCAGTTTAAAAAATGTGGCTAGAACACACACTTCAAAAGCACATTTTGGAAAGTAAACAGTGATTGGGGAGCACATAAAAAATACTAAACATAAGCAAATACTAACTCCTTCCAATCAAAGTGGCTAAGTGACATCGATCACTCAGTCATCACTGCTCATGGAGTGAATATGGTTCTAGATGGATACTGTCACGCACCAAGAGCCGTAGAGACAAGACAGGAATAGCGGGGCAGAAAGACACGATTGTGTATCTTCAGAATGAGGCGCTAACCACACTTCTTCTTCGTTCTCTTTGCCCTTTTTGGCTCGCTTGGGCTTGCCGGCTCACAACTCTAGGTGGCATTATTCTCCGTCCCATTAGAGCATCGACTCGATGCTCATACACAAGGGGACGGCAGGGCCGATAAGTAAAAAAAAAAGAGAGAGAGAAACGGTACCTATAGTGCACATGGCATATGCAGGTGCAAAAAAAATTGTCTGAGGTTGGTCATAAGAGTAAAAGCCATTAACTAAGTTCACGGTTCGTTCGAGATCCAACGGACAATGTCAAAAAAAAGAAAATGTTTGCTGCCCGGGCACAATAAGGCGAGTATCACCGCGTAATATAAGGTTTTAGGCGGACGACATGCACAATCTCTGTTCGTGGTGAGTGGCGTTGGGTTGTTGCCGAGCCTCCGTCTGGAATAACTTTGTAGTTGACCTCGTTCAACCGCCGTAGTACTTTGTAGGGTCGGAAGTACTTGCTCAGGAGTTTTTTGCTCAGACCTCGCCGTCTAACAGGAGTCCAAACCCACACTTGGTCGCCAGGTTGATAGGAGACTTGTCGATGGTGGATATTGTACCTTCGGGCCTCTTCACATTGCTGCGATCTTATGTGCACGCGACCTAATTGACGTGCTTCCTCTGCACGCTGAATGTAATCGTCGACATCAGGAGTTAGTAGCTCTCTCTGGTCGATGTCACAAGGAATCATAGCGTCTAGCATGGTTTGCACGTCTCGACCGTAAACGAGGCGGAATGGTGCGAACCTTGTCGTTTCCTGGGTTGTGGTGTTGTACGCAAACGTTACGTATGGCAGGATTTCGTCCCATGTTTTATGCTACACATCCACGTACATAGAAATCATGTCCGCCAGCGTTTTGTTCAGCCTTTCTGTTAAGTCGTTACTCTGGGGGTGGTATGCGGTTGTCTTGCGGTGGTTCGTGTAACTGAGCTTGAAGATGTCGTCCAACAGTTTTGCCGTAAACGCTGTCCCTCGGTCAGTGATGATGAATGACGGGGCACCTTGACGAAGCACAATGTGGTGCATGAAAAACTGGGTGACTTCAGATGCTGTACCGCGTGGCAACGGTTTCGTTTCAGCGTAACGCGTCAAGTAACCAGTTGCGACGATGATCCACTTGTTTCCGGAGTAAGACAAAGGAAACGGTCCAAGGAGGTCCATCCCAGCTTGGTCAAACGGCGTACGCGGTGGATCGATGGGTTGTAAGAGGCCTGCAGGCTTTACAGGTGGTGACTTGCGACGCTGACATTCGCGGCATCCTTTCACGTAGCGTTTGACACAAGCTGCGAGTTTTGGCCAGAAATATATCTGTCGAACCCGGTCGAGCGTCTGTGAGTATCCCAGATGGCCGGATGTCGGCTCATCGTGACAGGCTAATAGGATGTCATCACGAAGGTCTTGAGGGATGACTAGAAGATAAGATCTGCTGCCAACACCGGTGTTTTTCTGGTATAATATGCCGTGTCGTAAGCACAATGACGGCAACGTACAGGAAAGTGGACGAGGAACAGACCCGGTGCTGCCTTCTAAATGATCGATGATGGGCCTCAACTCGGCGTCTGCTCATTGCTTACTGAGGAGGTCCGCCCCACTGAGAGTCAGGCGCTGTCGTCTTCTACAGCTGTATGGTCGGATTCCAGAGGTGCCCGTGATAGCGTGTCGGCGTCTTCATGCTTTCTACCCGACTTGTATACGATGGTGACATCGAACTCCTGAAGTCCCAGACTCCATCGTGCTAATCGCCCAGAGGGGTCGCGGAGGTTAACCAACCAACATAAAACGTGGTGATCAGTCACAACTTTGAATGGGTGCCCATAGAGATAAGGCCTGAACTTTGTAATGGCCCATATTACCGCGAGACATTCCTTCTCTGACGTTGAATAGTTGGTTTCGGCACGTGATAGAGTGCAGCTCGCGTAGGCAATCACACGTTCGATCCCATCTTGTGTTTGCACCAGGATAGCTCCGAGACCAATGTTGCTTGCATCAGTGCGCACCTCTGTGTCAGCGTCCTCATCGAAATGACCGAGTACAGGAGGGGATGACAATCGATGTTGCAGTTCCGCAAAGGCAGTCGCTTGTTCGTCAGTCCACAGAAATGGGGTGTCGTCACGCGTAAGTCTGATGAGAGGCTCCGCAACCTTAGAGAAGTTTTCAATGAAGCCGCGATAGTATGCGCAGAGCCCTAGAAATCGCCGAAGACTTTTTTTGTCTGTCGGAGCTTTAAAAGCGGCCACAGCGGCAGTCTTCTCGGGATCGGGCCGAATGCCTGCAGCGCTCACAACGTGACCAAAGAACTTCAGTTCATTGTAGCCGCAATGGCACTTCTCAGGCTTGAGGGTAAGGTCAACGGATCGTATGGCTTCAAAAACACTCCGAAGGCGACGAAGGTGCTCGTCAAACGTTTCTGAAAAGACAACATCATCTAGATAGACGAGGCAACCTTTCCACTTGAGGTCAGTGAGAACGGTATCCATCATTCGTTGGAATGTGGCTGGAGCGGAACAGAGGCCGAACGGGAGCACTCGGGATTCATACAGGTCATCAGGAGTTACAAAAGCCGTTTTTTCGCGGTCACGTTCATCGACTTCAATTTGCCAATAACCACTTTTGAGGTCGATTGAGGAAAAGTACTTTGCTCGCCTCAGCCTGTCAAGAGAATCGTCCACTCGAGACAACGGGTACACGTCTTTCTTTGTGACGTTATTCAGCTTCCTATAATCGACACAAAAGTGAAGTGTACCATCCTTCTTCTTTACAAGGACCACTGGCGATGACCAAGGGCTGCTTGATGGCTGTATTACACCGTCTTGAAGCATTTCCTTCACTTGCTTTTGAATCGCGCGTCGCTCGGTTGGTGAAACGCGGTAAGGCTGTTGCCGTATAGGGTGCGCGTCACCGTAGGTGGTGATACGGTGTTTGGTAATCGATGTTTGACGGATTCTCGAACGTGCAAAACAGGCGTGGAATTCTATCAACAGGTCATTAAGCCTTCGTTTGTTTTCGTCAGAAAGCGTTGGATTTATATTGACGCCCCGGAGAGGTGCTTCGGCATTATCGGTTGCCTCGGAAGCAAAACACTCAGTCACATTGGTTACTGGGTAGGCATAGGCGATGACAGTACCAGGGAAAAGGTGTCGGCGCTCGTAGCTGAAGTTCGTAACAAGTACCTCGCAGTGGCCAGCCTGTAGGTCTACTAGGCTTCGTGCTACGCAGAGACCTTGGAAAAA